TATAGATAGATAGATAGATAGGAGGACAATTTTTGTCCTCCCTAAAATGTGGACTTTTTTTGATGTATTTTCTGTAATATTTAATTTTTTGGAAATTCTTTAGGTCATTTTTAATAAAACACTGAAAATATATCTTGCCCAGTATTGTTGTTTTCATTTGTTTTTTTACACACATTTTATATACTGTTTGTTGACAATGTATCAAGATTTTATGCTAAATTAAATTTAGAATGTACATATAAATGTATTTTAAAACTACTAATATCTGATGTAGTATATGAGGTCATAACAATCCATATGTAAGAATTTTAAGAACTGTTTTTGAACGGTTTTAAATGGAGTATTGCATGTCACCCATAAACACATTTGATTAATCAAATCAACTCCAATAAAACAGGTGTGAGTCAAGTGTGGACCTTATCTGAATTGCACTATAGATCCATAGCCTCAAAAACAATATCATCTGGAAGATTATTTATTAGCACAAGCTCTGTGGTACAGTAGGGCATGAGTAAATCATACAATACAGTCTTCAATCAGCTTTATGTCTGGTGATCACTGGCCCAAAAATACAAAACTACAAGCAATCCCTGAGACCAAAACAATTGAACTGCTCTAAACGTACACACTGATTTTCCAGGCCTACTTTGATTTTAAAGGGAACAGTTCACCCACAAATAAACATTGCCATCATTTAAATTTTGTTCTGTTCAACACACATAGACATCCGAAGACTTGGATTATAGCACCTTTTTGGAGAGAGCCAAAAACCTGCCACATTTAACTGTATGGAAACAAGTGGCTTGAACGTTCTGCAAAATATCTCTTTTTATATATCTATTTTGTTCAACAGAATAAATTAAGTCATATGAATTTGGAATGACATGAGGTTGAGTAAATGATGACATAACTGTCGATTTCAGGTGAACTGTTCATTTAAAAGACAACACAGCCCAATGATTCAAGGCAGCATATTACATACATATATATATATAAGATGTCTGACTAGAACTGCTGCTCGTTTCTTATTCTTATACATTTAATTGAGTCTTTTGTTTTTTTCGCAATTATTATTAGGAACCAGTCCAATGGCTGACAAATAACCAATGAATTATGTGCATTATGGTGATTTCTGAAGGATTACTTTAAATGAACAAAGCAACAAATAAAATATTAAAACAATTTGAACTTCATAGGGCATGGAGTCATTTAATTCTGATCAAACTAAGACAATCTTCAAACAACTCAATCATGTAACAGTGCAACATTTCATACTCTTACAAAATTATTAGCCTTAGAAATATCTGTATTGTTTCCAGTGAAAAAGGCATTATCACATTCTAATTTAGAATTTGTTTCCTACCTTGTTTTCAACAGAAATCCATTCGTATAAAAACGACATTTGCATTATAAGAATAGTGAAAAACCTTTACACGTTGGTACTCTTAAAATTATTACTAGTACAATTATTTAAATGTGAAGGTCCAAAACATCACAAGCTGGCTTTAATGCAACAAGTCAGAAGTTTAAATTTCAGTATAACTAACTAAAAATAAATAGTTTTTGTTTTTTTTTGATGGAGGGGAAAAATAGTTATGTAGTTCTTCAAAAACAGAAATGGAGCCTCTATCAACTGAAGGTGCATCATGATGTGTTGCGACGTAGACTGTTTGGACTGTTTCATTGATTGCAACAAAATAATCTAGTTTTGACGTGTCGCAACATGATGCATGTGTTTGGTGTAGACAGAGTCTGGACCATCATGACAGCACCTGAATGTCAGTGTATGTCTGCGGTCGTTTTATTCCTCTCCTGTGGTGAGTTTGCAGCTGTGCTCCTTCAGTAAAGCCTCAGCTTCTGCTCTCTTCACCAAACTATTGGCTTTACCCTGGTAACGTCCAGTCTTTCCTGCTCCTTTACCCTGCAGCAGCTCTGACACCCTGCACACCACGACACAAACACAGGAGAATGTGTTTCAGAAGAGTGCCACCTACTGGAAGAATCACTGCACGACATAAATCTACATGCAACCTTGGAAAAATGTGAAAATGCAATGGTATTTAATATAGCATCATTCTCTTGACATGCAGTGGTGCATAAAGTAAATAATGCCAAAGCAAAGGACTATTAGCAGAAAAAGTCAAAGTAGTAGCAAGTAAACTAGATGGAAGAACGGTTAACGGAGTTAATTTGTTTCTGTGTTATGTCTGTGAAATAAGGTGTATTTATGTACAACCGTTCACGGTCACTGTCATTTTAACTCTTTCCTTTTCATGTCACTGTATTATTGTGGTATGAACTATCTGAGATGTGAAAGTCACTTTACATGCAGACAGACAGTATCTGCTTGTCTAAGTGGCCAGATTAAGCTGCCACTTGAATAAAAAAAAAAAAAAAAACATAATTAACCCTATAAAGCCTACTGTATCATATTTGATATGCAGATTTCTAAGGCCTGTAAATGATCAAAACATGATCGAAAACCTGTTGTACACAATCTACTACATGCCTTCTGTCATCTTGATTGACAGTTTATAGTTTTTTAGTACGAAAAAGGCCTTGTAGTTTTATTCTAAAAATGCCCCCCTTCAGGTTATGGTTCATGTGTCTTTTTGCTGTGAAATCTTTACTGATTTTAAAGTAAACACAAGAATTACTTTTATATTGTTAGTAATGTTGTAAGATGAACACTTACTGGGCTGAAGCAACTGAATCGAAAAATCATGTTAAAATGTGAGTATCACATAAGATACATGAGGCTTTTGAGGAGTGTTTATTTGTTCATCTCTCAGTTATCATTATATTACATTACATTATATATTTTGACCCCACAACTAAAAACTACAGAGCTTTGATCATAAAACTAAGCATTTAAAAATCATCTTATTAAGACATAAATCGGTAGAGATAGTTTGACAACTGCTATTTATAGGCATTTTAGCAAGTAGTCTACTTTACTGTTATAAAGATGATCTCATTGATTTGCATTAAAAGCTATTTCATCTTACAATTTGGCATTAGACTGTAAATCTCAGCAACTGCACAAAATTGCATATTTTGCTCAGTTTGGGCCTTTGAATAAAACCGAGATGTTTTTCTTCCTCGAGTATGAGCTTCATATTCGTACTATATCATACTACAGGTGCATCTCAATAAATTAGAATGTCGTGGAAAAGTTCATTTATTTCAGTAATTCAACTAAAATTGTGAAACTCGTGTATTAAATAAATTCAATGCACACAGACTGAAGTAGTTTAAGTCTTTGGTTCTTTTAATTGTGATGATTTTGGCTCACATTTAACAAAAACCCACCAATTCACTATCTCAACAAATTAGAATACTTCATAAGACCAATAAAAAAACATTTTTAGTGAATTGTTGGCCTTCTGGAAAGTATGTTCATTTACTGTACATGTACTCAATACTTGGTAGGGGCTCCTTTTGCTTTAATTACTGCCTCAATTCGGCGTGGCATGGAGGTGATCAGTTTGTGGCACTGCTGAGGTGGTATGGAAGCCCAGGTTTCTTTGACAGTGGCCTTCAGCTCATCTGCATTTTTTGGTCTCTTGTTTCTCATTTTCCTCTTGACAATACCCCATAGATTCTCTATGGGGTTCAGGTCTGGTGAGTTTGCTGGCCAGTCAAGCACACCAACACCATGGTCATTCAACCAACTTTTGGTACTTTTGGCAGTGTGGGCAGGTGCCAAATCCTGCTGGAAAATGAAATCAGCATCTTCAAAAAGCTGGTCAGGCAGAAGGAAGCATGAAGTGCGCCAAAATTTCTTGGTAAACGGGTGCAGTGATTGCTTCAAGTGATAGGCCAGGTAAGTGAAATTATATTATCTTGCTGTATGTCCTTTTCTTTACGTTTTCTGACTAAAAGCAACCAAAAGGCCATTTTAAAGTGGTTAAGCAAATAATATAATAATAATAATCGGCAGGGATCCCAGACGTTACAATAACCAATAACGTTACAATTAGTGTGCCTCCTCTATTTTAAAACCCACGAACCGCCACTGATAAAACCTGATGTATCAAAAAATTATACAACAAAAAACACATTAAAAGAATATATTTTTTAGACTCTGTGTAAAGTTTCTATAAACCATTCCATTTTAAAATTCTTGATTTTGCTTACAATTATTTCATATGTCGGGGTTACAAATTGTCAGAATGAAAGGGAATAAACAAGCATGGGTCTTACCGAGGTCCCACTTCGGTGACGATATTCTCAGGCCCTGCGAGCAGGAAAAGTCCTGCACCCTTCTCCTCACCCACGGTCAGAAAGATCACTGTGTCCTACACAAACACAGCAATGAGAGTATACACTACTCTCCAATCTCCAGAATCTGGGAATAACAATGCAAATACATTCTATTCAAAGAATAAAAGATGTGCTTCACCTGAAATCCAATTTCATTTGCGATGATGTTCATGAACTCATTATCACCGTCTTTACTGTGAAAACAACAAGGCTTATTTTTAGGCAACTTGGATTTAACTTTTGAATTCTTGTCGATTTGAGTCACTAATAAACCTTTAATTCACTAAAGACTTCAACAGGAGAAGTCAAACACACTTGTGAAAGCTGAAGAAGTTTCCTCTGTCTGGTTTGTTTTTGAAGTTCTGCGCTATCAGAACAGCCATTTCCCTCAGGATAATTAGATTACTCTGTCAGAGGAACATAATGGGTAATGATCAATAATTGCAAACGTGAAAGATTAATCCTTGTTTACTGACACAGTAAGTTACCTTCTGAAGACGTTTGACCGTCTTCTGTAGCTTGTCCACGGCATCAACATGCTCATCTGCCCCTGTCCTAATAAACCACAATGACAAACATTAGTTCATGCTAGAAGAAAGGCAGACAGATCACTTGACAGGCTACGTTTACACGACAACGGTGTAGTCAAAAACTGAAAAGTTTTTCCCTTGCGTTTTGAAAAAATGTCACGTATACACGACGTTTTCAAAACGATTCACGTTTACACATATCCGTGAAAACGGCCAAATGGCGCTGTCACCTTGTTAGTAAACAGTACCTGTAGGGAAGTGAAGATTATATGATGTATGATGCGTCTCCGCTGTTGGTTGTAATACTGGTGAAGTAAATCCACACTTTGTTGAAGAAGCGTTAGCACTCTTGAGCAGCAACAACAGTATGTACTCCGCCATTGTTGTGTATGTTTGTTCGCGCTCTCCTTTAAAGGGTTAGTTCACCCAAAAATGAAAATTCTGTCATTAATTACTCACCCTCGTGTTGTTACAAACCCGTAAGACCTTCATTCATCTTGGGAACACAATTTGGGTCATATGATGCGATTTAAATTTTTCCTTTCTCTTTGGAGTGTTACAAGCTCTTGGTGCATGAAGATCTGTAAAGTTGCAAAGACTAAAGTCTCAAATCCAAAGAGATATTCTTTATAAAAGTTAAGAGTCAGCCACGCCTACCTAAAACGGCTCGTTCTAACACGCCCCCACATGTCTACGTCACTATGTGGGAAGATTTGCATAACGCCGCCCAAATGTTCACACAAAGAAAGAAGGCGTAACTTTTATTCTCGCTGTAGTATTGTTGCTGCCGCCATGTCGTGAAGGCGCTGTGTGTTTCATTGTGAACGCAAAACTACTTTGTTTGGCCTTCCAAAAGAGGACGATATCTGCTTCGTCATGCCTAGAGCTGATCGTGCTGGTCGCTGAAGAAATACATCAACTTTGTGCTGTCGATCGGCGGATCGGCTTTCACCGTGGAAGCGGAGTCCAGCCCGGGGTCGTCACATGTGGTTGCCGCAAGCCCGCCGGCCGCCGCTTAAACAAGCCGGCCTCCACTCACTCTAACCCGCCGTGTGTGACGCTGTGTGTTTAGTTGTGAAAGCGAAACTACTTTGTCTGGCCTTCCAAAAGAGGACACAACTACAAAGATTCCCATGGGTGGTTACACGGCAACGACAACAGTGCCATTATCAAAAACTTCCACTTTGAAACCCGTTTTCAAAAATATGCGTTTTCAGTCTCCAAAACGCCATTGTCGTGTAAACAAACAGTCAAAACGCATAAGAAGTTTCCCGTTTTTGGCTGATAACATTGTCATGTAAACGGCCCCTAAGGGAAGTAACTCACTTGAGAAGGGCGGTCAGTGATTTTTCAATGTTGTAACTCTTTTCAGCATATTTCAGCACTCTGTTGCCAGCTAGGAAAATCAGGTTGGTTTTATTCTTCTTCCCTTTTTCGGTCCCCAAAATCTTTATAACCTAAGGAGACATTTTTTTGAGAGATTAAACAGTAGAATAGCTCTGAATAATACACTAAAATCCACAGGTTAAGTTGGTGGATGAGCTAAAATGTGCTCAACAGGGAGAGGAGGGCTGACCTGAAGGTGACTGAGGTTGGACACATGAGTCCCGCAGCACATGTTAGCATCTACACCCTCAATGTCAACGATCCTGATGGGGCCGGCATGGTCATCAGGAAGACCACGGCTTCTCACCTGTTCATGAGAATAGTAAAAAATTGATATGTTAGTATTGCGCAAAGTAGAAGTGAATTTGGAGACAGTATTATTTTAAAATCATTAAAGATGTATTTCACTATATGTCACCAAAAGATCTTATTTAATTCTATAAACTTAGGAAGAAGATAAAAAATAATGGGATTTTGTTGTCCACAATTGAGGAAAGAAGGAAAAGATTTGCTGCACAACTTAAAAAAAAAAAAATGAAATAAAATCAAAATAAAGGCAACTGGAAACAAAGAATGTTTTCCCTTCTTATCTCAATATAAAATTGTAGTAATTTGCATTTTTAAATTTGCTTTTAATTTCAGTTTTGTTGTAGTTAGCTCAGTTTAGTTTTATTTTAAGGACACATTTCTATTGAATTGTTTTATATATTTATTATATTTTTATCAGCAAGAATGCATTTATTCATTCAAACATGTAAAGACATTTATAATGTTATAAAAAAATTATATGTTAAATAAATGTTCTTTTGAACTTTCTATAAAAATGTATCATGGTTTCCACAAAACATAATAAATATCATTTATTACTGTGATGGCAAAGTTGATTTGGTGTTTAATTATTAATAATGGTTCTTATTATTATCAATGTTGCTTACATTTTTTTGAAGAAAACCACTCAGTTGCAGTAATCTTTGATGAACAGAAATCTAAAAAAAAAAAAAAAAGTATTTATCTGAAATAGAAATCTTTTGTAACCGTATGTACCCTTGCTGTAAAAAAATATATATTTTTTCTTTGTTTAATCATACTTACACCAAACTTTTGAAAGGTAGCAAATTGTGGTTTCCACAAAACATATTAAGCAGGACAACCATTTTCAACATTAATAATAATGATAAAGTTTTCTTGAGCATTAAATCAGCATATTAGAATGATTTCTGAAGGATGATGTGACAATGAAGACTTTAGAAGTGATGCTGACAATTCAGCTTTGCATCACAGGAATAAATTATATTTTAAAATACATTCAACCAGAAAAGAGTTATTTTAAATTGTAAAAATATTTTACAGTTTTACTGTTTACTATATTTTTAATCAAATAAATGCACCCTTGGTGAGCATAAGAGACTTTCTTTTAAAAACATATTAGCACAAATATTAGCAAACCCAAACGTTTGAATAACAGTGTATATTATAGTTTTTCACTTTGAATATCATTTATTTTGATTATTTTTTTGTTTTTTGCTTTGTTTCATTTTAAATTGAATTCATGTTGTGTCGTTATTCTTTTTATTATTATTGCGCACATTGAATTACTGATTAAACATAACTCACTTGTTCTGTAGTTTGGGTTGTACAACTTAAAGTGTGTAAATGTTGTGAAAATGTGATTCCTAAAAAAGCTAAAAGATGATTTCTGAAAGTGCACACATGCCTTCTCCACAGCAGGATCATCAATGGACAGGAGATTGACAGCAACTGGAATGTGTGCACGAATCTTCTCATTCACAGCCGCCTCCAAAGCCTCCATCTCTCCAGGCTTCACCGTGGCTGTGTCCAGCTCTATGCTGCTACGCTGACGTCCTAAATCCCTGGATCATTTCATAACCAGCCGGATGGTTTAACATTTAGAAATCAAATTTATTTCCCAAATCATTTAATAGATCCTGCCAAAGCTCTTACCAAGAGGTAGTTTTGTATCCAAACATTGTATCAGCTAAAGCTGTGATCAAGTGTTGACCTTTAAAAATGACAATAAGCATGTGATGAAATTAGTTTGAGCTTCATTTAACCCTATAAATCCTACTGTATCATATTTGATGTGCAAATTTCTAAGCCCTCTACATGATCAAAAGTTTGTGGAAAAACCTGTTGCACACAATCTAGTAGATGCCTTATGTCATCTGATTGATAAATACTTTTTTTTAGTAAGTAAAAGGCTGTGTGTGTGTGTGTGTGTGTGTGTGTTGATTAGGCAACCATATAAATACCTTTTTTATTGTTAGTAATGACCGAATGGACTGAAGCAACTTAGGTTTACTTGATTATCCATATCATGCATAATTTTGTTCCTCTCTCAATCATCATTGTATTGCATTGCACTATATGCTTTGCCCCCACAATAAAAACTACGGAGCTTTGATCATAAAACTAAGCATTAAATATCTTACTAAGACACATTATTAGGAAATAGCAACAACTGATATTTACATGCATTACATAAATAGTCTGTTACTGTTACGAAGATCTAATTGATTTACATTAAAGGGGTCATATGATGCGATTTCAAGTTTTCCTTTCTCTTTGGAGTGTTACAAGCTGATTGTGCATAGATAAGATCCCTGAAGTTGCAAGCATCATATGACCCATTTAAAAGCTATCAGAATTTTATCTTGTTTGAAATATAAATATCAGCAACTGCACAAAACTGCATACTGTTGCTCATTTTAGGCCTGATGTGTTTTTTCCTCCCCTATTGTCACTAAAGCTGCATATTCTCACTATATCATACTATAAGAGTAATAAAACCCTGATGAATCAAATTTGAAACTCAAGAAAAACAAATTGCAAACTTTTGTCTAATTAGATTTTTTCCTGACTATTATTTTATATATCAGCCTTTACAAGGTTAAAGTAATAGTTCATCTAAACACACTCATTCCTTCCTTACTCGAATGCTGCTGCATGTGGTCAAAGCGCCGTTCCCAGTCCAGTTTGATGTGCACCTCCTGACCCTCCTCCAGTGCAGAGCTGATGAAATGCACCGCCTCTGGACCCTGTCTCAACACACGCAGGACATTGACACCTCCAACCGTCCCATGATCATCAGGCTGGAAACGAAAAACAATAAGACATCAAGCTCATGCAAGGGATTGTTTACATACTGTATCTATTTACATGCATGGCATGACATTAGAGAGGGGAAACTCACCTGTCCTCCGCCCTCTGGAAACAGAATGGTGTCTTTCAGTTTCAGATTAAAGCCCTTCAGCTTTTCTTTCTTTCCATTATTCTCTAGGGTTAATTCTGCAGGCACGCAAGACACTACACATGTGTCCAACTGTAAAAGGAAAGTTGACAAACAAAAAATATTTTTTTTATTTATATGTATTCGACTTGAACTCTTGCAGTGACAAATGCATTTTTAAAAAAAGTACCTTAAACTATGTTAATGTTAATATCAGCATGTGTAATTATTTTACATGAATTGTACGTAGCGAAGTAAATTCTCTGGTAATTGAAAACACTGCAGAGATGCTCACACATTCAGATAATGTTCGACATACATTGCTCTGGAGATACACATACAGCGAAATATCATAAAATCTGAAAAAGCCACATACCTCCTGCAAATAACTGTCCCTCTGACACTGGAAAGCCATGTTTCGACAAATGTAAAGTACAAGGGATCGGTATTTGCTACAGTAAACGAAACCGAAAGTTAAAAGATGGCCGCTGTTTTCAAAATAAAAGTCCCAAAAAAGTAACATTAATTCAGTGTGTTACTTGCGGTTTCTTTGTAACTATTTGTGAAATTTACTAGCAATTAGTGAGTGAAAATCGTTTCCTAGCATTTTTCAAGTAAAATTTCAGTGTGTGTATTAGTGCTAATTTTGTTTATTAGTTTTTGTTATCAGTTTTTGTGTGTGTGTGTGTGTTTAAATATGCGTGTCGTGATGTTTAATCAGTGTCATACTTTTTACAATAAAGCTACCAGTGTTGGGGGTAATATATTACAAGTAACGCGAGTTACGTAATCAGATTACTTTTTTCAAGCAACTAGTAAAGTAACGCATTACTTTTTAATTTACAAGGCTTTTATATTTGCCAAAAATATAACTTTTTTATTTTAAAAACAAACAAGCAAGCCCTGTCCAGATTTAAAAAGTAGCGCAAAAGTAACGTAACACATTACTTTCCATAAAAAGTAACTAAGTAACGTAATTAGTTACTTTTTTATGGAGTAATAATGCAATATTGTAATGCATTACTTTTAAAAGTAACTTTCCCCAACACTGAAAGCTACCATAAACCATAAAGCTAGGCCTACTTCAAAACTTTTCTTGTGATGTTAATTTAAATGTATCATTAATTTATTTTAATTACACATTTAAATATCTGACGATTTGACAGATGATTTGACAGTGTAGATACATTTGTGGTCTATTTTTTTCTAGTTTTCTGTGAGGGGGCATTTTAGCAAATTGAATTTTGCTATCTCTATACTTCCATATAAGTGTGAGTGTCAATGCATTAAAAAAGACATTTAAACCACCATTTTACTACCCTTTTTTTTGCTATAGGCCTACATTTGGCTCAGAATGCATTTTGAAATACACACTGAATTTTGCTACAATTATCATTCTAAAAAATGCTGGGTTAAATACAACCCAGTGCTGGGTAAAATAGGGACAAACCCAGCAATT